ACACCATCAGAAAGTAGAGATTTCAACGAAGAAAAAGCCCACCGACGTTTTTAAAAAAGCAGATATTTTGACGTGAGAATTTTCGATTGAAAATTAGGATGCTTTTTCGATATTAAGTAAAAATAAGGTGAAAAAATAAATATTTCAAATCAAAAAAATTACAGCGTGTTTGGGACATAAATAGGTAAGTTTTCACCAAATTTCGTGAAAAAAAAATTTGTTTGTAAAAGATAAAAATAAAAAACCAAAAACTTGGTTATTTGAATTTTTCACATAAATTTTGAGGTTATGTGAAAAAAGTGTAAATCCATAAGACTTGTAGGTTTTCCGGAAATCAAGGGAAACCGTTTTTTACCCTTCCCCTTCCCGACCTCAGATCGCCCGTAAATTACTTTTCCTTTCATTTCTGTTATATTCTCTTTCTTTTCAAATGCGCTTCATCCTACTATAATTTTTTTTGGTTTCAAAAATTATCGACCCTGGTCTAATACGCTAAAATATTATTTTAATCAGAAATTAAGTTGATTGATTAAAACTTGAAACCAGATTTCAAGTACTGTTACAAATACTTTTTTATAGACTAGAGAAAAATGTGTTTTTCCCGAATTAACTTTATTAATATTTTTAAACTTGAATATCTATCAACAAATTATTTATAATCTGCTGTTTTTACGTGCTAAATTAAAGTATATAAATTTTAATAAACAAATCGAAGGCTTAACTATAATAAATCAGTCATAATGATGAGTTAATGCTCTTCCTGGTACATATACATTTTCATAGATAGCATTTGATGCAAGAGGAATAAATTTAGATTTATATTGAAACATATAATTTTTTTTTCGTCATAATTTTCTCTCCTTCAAATGGATCGTAATATTACTTTACGAAATAACTAGAGCATCATAAATAGAGTTGTCAGAACTGAGCCGCGGGACATAGGCGTACGTATTATTTATTAAAAAGCAACAAATTAAATTGTCTACGATACACCACCATAAACACCAACGGATGGGAATTAGTTACGCAACATCCGCACGATAACAAAGGCAACAGTATACTAACGTGACAGGAACGTGAAAAGCGTTCTGAGGCAGCGGCACACGCATGTCTCGGTTGACAGCCATAATCATAAACTACCAAAATTTACTATGTTGAATGTGGATGTATACAATGAATATGGAAAAGAAATATTGAATAGCACGTTAGTTTTCTCAAATTTGCATCCCGAAAATAAAATAAAAAACCTTCCGTTGTCCATTTTATTGAATAAAATACATATCTATTTTAACTACTTAGATATTTTGTTGGTAGACTTAAAGGTTGCTTATGACTAGACTACTTAAAATCAGTAACAGCGCACTTAGTACATTCGTAGTGAAGGGACTGTTTGCTCCTGAGATCTCCTCACCCTCCAGCCACACCCCTATCAGCCTGTTAACTTCCTCCCTGGCTTCAACTAGTTGCGGCAGATCCTCGTCGGTGGCGGCGTACATGTTTGAACAGTGTGCGGTACCTAGAATAACACAATATGAAAGAGAAACTGCTAGAGCAACTAGGAACATCTGAATTGTATACGCAAAAATTTTATTTCGGAATTGAACCACACATACCATCGATAAATATAACTGGCGACTCTGAATTAGTGGTTTCGGTGAGCCCCATGGGGTACCAAGGGTCGTACGATCCGTGAACGAACACCACGTTTCGTACGTCGATGTCGTATCCACCGAAATGTGTGTTTATTTGCTCAATTTGTCCGTTTATGTAGCTCGTGTTGAATTCTGGTCCATAAACGTCTACGCATAGGTTTGTAAAGAACTCGATGGGGTACCTAGTGCCGAACACTTGCTCTTCCTGGCTTGACGTTTGGTACCATCCGTACTCTGAGCAGGTTTGGTAAATCCACTGACGCACTTAAATCATAAGAATTATATGACTAATACATATTTAGGTACTTTAACAAAGTCATTATTGCACTTACAGCAAATACATAAAATATATTTAAAAAAGCACAAATCAAACACATTCGTTTGCTACTCACTATTCCCGCTGGCTGTGATAGTTGTATCACTCAGGTAGTCCACTGTGTTCTGGTACTTGTAATCCAAACACGTGGACCCGTAGAACAATTTATTCACCTCTGCCAGCCTGTATACTTCGTCGCCGTAAGTCTCATTGACCAGAATATCGCACAAGTCGTCCACGGAAGTTGTCCGGCCGCTGTTCTTGTTGTACTGCGCAACGTAGGCGAAGACGTCGTCAGTAAGCTTCTCTAGGAAATTGGCTATGTCCGATTCGGTGTTAACCACTTCTATGTCATCGCATAAATTGAAAAGAGCAGTGATATTCTCGTCGCCTGGATTGTCTACCAGTTCTTCAAGTCGAGTGAATGCCGTTTTAACCGTTTCGACGCATTCTCGACTGTACAGGGCTAGATCGTCCGCAACCACTTGCAGGTACTCTAAAAATGGGAACATATCGGTAATGCCAAATTAAAACAAAACGTTTCAATAGAGAAATGGGTGCGAATGCATGCATGCGCGTGCGTAGAAGTGTAGACGTATAGAGGTTTAGAGCTTTAGATGTATAGAGGTGCATATAGCTAGAGGTGTAGAGGTTTGTAGGTGTTAATTTTAAAGATGTCGGTTTTTAGATATGTTAATTTTAGACGTGTTAAGTTTCGATGTGTTGGCTTTAGATGTGTTAATTTTAGATGTGCTAATTTTAGACGTGTTGGCTTTAGAGGTGTTAATTTTAGACGTGTTAAGTTTCAATGTGTTGGCTTTAAATATGTTAAGTTTAGACGTGTTGGCTTTAGAGATGTTAATTTTAAAGATGGCGGTTTTTAGAGGTGTTATTTTTTTTATGAATGTAGATTTTTGAGATGCTTGTGTACACACTGTAGATTTTTGGGTGTGTTAATTTTTGAAGGTGTACATAGGAGAAGCTCAGTTTCAGAGATGTGTTATTTTTAAAAGGGTTAGTTTTAGATGTCAATTTAAGATATCTTATTAGATGTTAAATTTAGCTGCGTTAATTTTAGACGTGTTAAATTTCGATGTGTTGGCTTTAGAGGTGTTAATTTTAGACGTGCTAACTTTAGACGTGTTAGCTTTGGAGGTGTTGCTTTAGACGTGTTAAGTTTCGATGTGTTGGCTTTAGATGTGTTAATTTTAGACGTGCTAACTTTAGATGTGTTGGCTTTAGAGGTGTTAATTTTAGGCGTGTTTAGTTTCGATGCGTTGGCTTTAGATGTGTTAATTTTAGACGTGTTGGCTTTAGAGGTGTTAATTTTGGACATGGCTGTGATTCAATTAATATGTTATACGTACCAGGAAAATCTAGTTGTGCGAACAAAGGCCCACTGGCGGACATGGCTCCTTGAACCAGATGCGGATATTTTTGTCTCAACCAAGCTGCTAACGAACCAGCGTAAGATCCCCCGAACACTATCCATTTTGCGTCTTTCGTGAGGTTGTACTCCTGATTCATACCATTAATGAAAGTCGCGGTGTCCTCCAAGGCCTGTCTGCTTGACAGGTATCTTAAGTTTTCCGTGCTCAAGTCACTGCAAAATAGATTTTTTTTATTGCGCCCGTTGTGGGAGTTTGTTTGGCATCACTCACCCTCGAAAATGACTTCAAATTTAATCTAATTTTGTTATATTTGATTTATCTAATAAGATGAGATTAGCAACATATCGTTTATTAAGTTTTGTTGAAAGACATGTTTGTTGAGAAATCAAGGTTTGTAGCATCTAGCATTTATAAATATATGAAAAGTTTGGTTGATTTTCTTAATCTGGCATAGCATTGATGACTTTAATCTCTAAAGAATGATTACTGATTGAAATTATTAATCCTCGATTAAGATATACAAATACGTAGGAATTTTATGTCTTTAATATTTTGTTTAAAAATTATTTCATCACAACTTCAGATATTTACGATTATTTTCTAACGAAAATTAATTGAAAATCAGTTATATCGTAAAATTGTAAGATCAAGATTATTAGGTGCTACAAATCTAAGCAAATTCACCCACAAGTTTTAGACACAAGTCATATCTCCATCCAGAAAAATCTGGTTTATACTTCATTCAATTTGCTACAGCAGCAGTCAGGCTCATGAATCTTTTTAGTTCCTCCAGATTAGCGTCTGAAAGGTAGAGAATACTTACTCAAACGGATGACTGACGCCATAGAATCTGTGCTCTAGCTCGAATAAGAGAGCTCCGTACTTTTCAGCAGGTTCTATCCAAGCCCCACCTGTCATCCATGAAACAGAAGCCTGACCCTCGCCAGCAATCATTAGAAAGATAGTCTCTCTTTCCGTGGCATTAAAATATTCTGTATTGACGTAATACCGCTGAAGAAAAGTAAAAAAAAATAGTATTAGGGTCGTCCTGATTTTGATAAACAAAGTTTACGATACTACTACTGATAAGTTTGATTTATTTAATCGCCTTTAAACATAGCAATCCGATGGATTTAAGATTATTATAGAAACGGCTATAAAACAATAAACAAATATTAAATAAAGATTCACTGAGCTAGAAAACCATATAAAAATAATCCATTATAACGTATATGTAATGGAATGTTTGGATTATTTTATATTGGCTCAGGGCTAGAATCGTTGAATCTTGAAGACAAAGACATATTTCTCTTTTGAATTATACAAAGCAGAAGAATATCCTTCAAAATCTAAATACTTGCAACGATTGTTATATTATAACGTACCTGCGACCAAACAATCGTATTTGAGGGATCGAAATGGTCCAGTCTTTGCGTAAAATAATCTGTAGCCACTTCTACTCTCGACACTGCGACTTTTGGGGGAGGTATGTCGTACCCAAGCAGATGCCCCCTAAAAACGGATTCGGAAGACAGCGCATAGCTGACCGAAAATAATATTAAAACTGTAACACCGAGTTTCATCATCTCAGACGGCAAACTGATTCCGAAGCGATAGATGAGATGATGGATGGTGATTAAGAGATTATCGTTTCAGATTTATCTGAGGGACCCATATAAAAATAAATTAGCAGTAAATGTGTCACAGTTGAGTAAAAATAAGAGTATTATTACAATTTTTCTACATTTATTGCATTTTGAATAAACTTTTAAGATCAACCAATCAATAATTAAAGTTTGTATATTACAAAATTACATGTAACTAACAACAGTACGTTTAAAGTGGAGTTAGTGGCGTCATTTTGGAGAGTTTCTTGAGTCCTGATTTTTAGCCCTAACCACATTCCTATCAGCCTGTCAATTTCCTCCCTAGCTGCAGTTACTTGAGGTAAGTCGTTTTTAGAGGTTCCATACATGGTTGCACAGTGAGATGTGCCTAAAATTCAAACCAAAGTTGTTAAATTGATCCTAATATTGGAGTCAAACTATTCGTTCTTCAGAAAGGTTAAAACTGGAACATACCATTGATAAAAATAACTGGGGACTTTGGATTGGTAGTTGCCGTAAGCCCCAAGGGGTACCAAGGATCAGAAGACCCTTGAACGAAAACCACCCTTCGTACATTGATGTCGCGTCCACCAAAATGTGTGTTCGTTTTCTCAATTTGACCACTCATGTAGTTTAAGTTGAATTGCGGCCCAAATACATCTTCGCAAAGGGATATATGGAAGTCGACGGGTACTCTAGTGCCGAATACTGCTTCCTTTTGGCCCGTCGTATGGAACCAACCAAATTCCGTACAAGTCTGGTACCACCATTGTCGTGCTTCAACAATCAAATCAAACCAAAATTATTACCATTAAAAAGAGTGCGGTAAGGACAAATGAAGGGACTGACCTGGTGAATCGGGTGATACAAATACGTTGCGCGCGTAGTTCACAGTATCCCTATATTTAAAATTCACGCATTTCGATTTATAAGACAATTTAGTCACTCTAACCAGTCTGTTTATTTCGTCGCCGTAAGCCTTGTTGGTAAGGATATCACATATGTCAGCTACGGAAGTTGCTTTAGGATCATTCGTGTTATACTGTACTATGTTGGAGATGACGCCAGCAAGTGCTCGGAAAAAATTAGCTACATCTAATTTGGTGTTGAACCGTCGAATGTCGTCACATAAATTAAAAAGTATTGTGACATTCCTAGCACCCGCGTGACTGTCTATCATTTTGTCGAGTCGAGCGAACGCCTTCTTCGCCGCTTCGAAGCATTCTCGACTGTGCGAAGCTAACACATCAGCGACCACATGGAGGTACTCTAAAATTAGAATTGTGCTTTGATAAACGGAAAAAACCATAGTCATAGTTCTTGATCAGTAGGGCCGTCAGAACTGAGTCGATAAGAATTAATTACACGATAACAAAGGCAACAGTATACTAACGTGACGTGAACGTGAAAAGCGTTCTGAGGCAGCAGCACACGCATGTCTCTGACAGCCTTATTAATCATTATTAATTCATCGTACAGGACATTCTAATTTTTTTACTTAAACTGTGCTCATACCGTGAAAATCCAGCTGCGCATGTATCGGGCCGCTGGCGGACACAGCTCCTTGAACCAGATGTGGATATTTTAGCCTCAACCAAGCTACCAATGCCCCGGCGTAAGATCCCCCGAACGCTATCCACATTGCGTCTTTGTCGAGATTGTATTTTTGGTTTATACCGTTAATAAAAACGGCAGCGTCCTGTAAAGCCTGTCGACTTGATAAGAACCTTAAGTTTTCAGTTCTCAAGTCCCTAGGAAAAAAGATTTTTGATTGCATGTGGTTACTGAGCTTTGTTTTTTATTGAATCTGTAGTTTGTGTTGTTCAGTACATTGGATCGAACGGAGTTTAGTCAGTTTACTATTGACTTTTGTTAACCGTCAACTCAAATTAAAAATAAGTGGAAAGTGGTTCGAAAGCTGTTGGAACTTCTTACCGAAAAGGTTGACTGACACCGTAAAATCTGTGTTCTAACACAAACAAAAGTGCTCCATATTTTTTAGCACTCTTTATCCACGATCCTCCTTTTAACCAATCCTCGGAGGCCTGACCTTCTCCAGAAATCATCAGGAAAATAACGTCCCTTTTCTCGGCATCAAAATACTTGTCGCTTACGAAATATCTCTGAAAAGAAGCAGCACTAATACTTTTATGGTAAGTTAAAAAAAAATTACATTACATCAAAGTAGAACATAGGTGTTTCTGGGATATCGTGTTTTCTATATTCACAACGTACCTGTAACCAAATCCTCGTGTTAGAGGGATCGAAGTGGTCCAATCTTTGCGAAAAATAACCCGTGATCACGCCTGCTCTCCATTCAGTGACTTCTGGGGGAGGTATATCGTACCCCAGTAGATCCCATCTGAGAAGGAATTGATCAGACAGCGCGTGGTTAACCGAAAATAGTATTAAGACTGTGACACTGAACTTCATTGCGCTTTACAGCAGCAGTTTTAGTAAGTAAAACCACTCTGATCAATGTTAAATGACACTTACTGATTTTTGACTACTCACTTTATTGAAACGTATTAGTCCACGGGCCCACGTACAAAGAAAAAAAAATGATTACCAGCAAGCTTTAACTTTGCGTGCAGCTTAAGTTTGACGAGTCTCCCAAGATTTGACTACGAGGAAAATTCAACAGTGGTAAGTTTTCCCGTGATTTTCAGGAAAACATGTCAATCTGGCATAAACATGTGACTACGAGGAAAATTCAACAGTGGTAAGTTTTCCCGTGATTTTCAGGAAAACATGTCAATCTGGCATAGACATGGAATGTTATGACCAGCACCTTTTTTTTTAAGTTTAAATGAGAGATATATTTTTTTAAACCCCCCAAAAAATTTGTCCGACAAAAATGTTGGGTATTTTGAGTTTGTCCGCCAAAAAGATTGGAAAATTTGCCTTAAAAATGGGAAAAATTTAACTATTTTTGTGGTACCTAATATTCATTCCGCTATAAAATAATTTTTTAATGAAAAAATAAAGAAGAATAAATAAGAAAATTATCTTGTTAACAGGAGCAACAGAAATTGAAATTCATAAATAATTATGTCTAACTAATTTAATTAATCTCCATCAAAATGATTTCTTTGTTCAAAAAACTTATATGTACATTTTATTTTATAAACTATTGTAACTATTTAAAAAAAATGGTAACTGTACAATGAATGCATACATTTTTGCTTGTGTTTTTTTAAATTAAAATTCGTAATCTTGTTTTGACAAACAGTTTACACAGTTTTGTTCTTGAAAAACCAATTAAACCAATTTTAAAAATATTATTATACATTTATCAAAGCGTTTATTATAAGATTGTCTTGTTGTAAAGTATAAATCCTTAATGGGAAATGACTTTGCAGCACTTAAAACCTGCTGCCAAAGTTCTTAACATGTGTTTATAGTTTCTCCATAAACAACTGATTTCATGTAACTCCAAAAACGGAAGTCTCGGCATTCCACCTCACATTTATGTACATACAATTTAAATTAAGATGTAATTTTAGGTACGAATAATACTCAATGGACAGTAGCATACAAATGACAGCAATAAGACAAGTTGAATATGTCAATTATTATTTGATTTTCGTCCAAACTTAAGAAACTTCACCGCTAAATTAATAATAGTATAGGTACTTCATTGTAATTTAATTCAACAGCATTGGAAGTTTCAAAGTCAAATATCTCGAAAACGGTGCGAGACAGCTGGTTTTATAAAGTGTAGCTTTTTTGTGTAAAAAAAGTTGGAAAATAAGAATTTGATGAGATGAGATACCTTAAAAAAGTTATGTCATTTTTAACACATTCAATCTACTGCAGCTAGCGCCCTCTATGAACTTTAACCAAAATGTGAACACATTTCAATTCCTCTACTTAAAGAACTCCAAACCTCAAAATTTTGTGAGGATATTTGCATTTGTTAAGGAATAAATGAAAAAAAACTAAAATAATNAAAAAAAAATAACGTTATAAAACTTTTGAATCCAAGGTTTGTGGAGGCCCTCAATGTGTGGGGGTCCCGGGACTCTCGCCCCGGTTGCCCCGCCGTTAATCCGGCCCTGAATAAGATACTTTCATTTCAAATCTTATTACCAAACCCTCCCAGAAAAATCAGCTTGCTGGTTGATACCAACCATAATGGCACCAAATCGACATATTTGGAGTGAAAATACCAACATTTTTGTCGGACAAATTTTTGGGGGGTTTAAAAAAATATATCTTTCATTTAAACTTAACAAAAAAAGTGCTGGTCATAACATTCCACGTTTATGCCAGATGGACATGTTTTCCTGAAAATCACGGGAAAACTTACCACTGTTCAATTTTCCTCGTAGTCAAATCTTGGGAGACTCGTCAAACTTAAGCTGCACGCAAAGTTACAGCTTGCTCGTAATAATTTTTTTCTTTGTACGTGGGCCCGTGGACTATATATCTTGGCATTACATTTTTTTAGTTGTTATTGATAGAAGTTTACACACGATTCACTTGAATCTTGAATTCGCTGAGGCACAAAATTCTAATTCAAACTGTCAATGTCACGAACATAAACAATTTGACACTTTCGATCAACTGAGGCACCAACAAGTGACTGGAAGTAACGCGAAAATAAAAAAAATGTAGATATTCATATTTCAAATATATTTAAATCAACAGTACGTACATTACATTTTGTTCATAACCAAACTACTTAAAATAAGGTGACTGATGTCGTCTCAAAGTTTAACTCCTAGCCAGGCACCTATCAGTTTCTCAACCACCGCTCTAGCTTTAATTAGTTGAGGTGGATCCCTCTTAAAGGGGGGATAGAGGACCGCACAATGAGAGGTACCATTAATGTATATAACTGGAGACTCATGATCAGTGGCTTTCGTAAGACTCATGGCTTTCCAAGGATCGTACGACCCCTGAACGAAAACGACGTTTTGTACGTCAATTTCGTATCCGCCGTAGTACGTGTTTGTGTATTCAATTTGACTAGTTAAGTATTTTGTGTTATACTCTTTTCCAAATGTATCTGTGCACATCTTTGTGAAGAACTGGGTAGGAGCCTTCGTTCCGAATACCTGTTCCTTTTGGTTTGTAGTCTCGTACCATCCGTACTCGGTGCAAGTTTGATAAAACCATTGACGCACTTGAACATAATTGTATTGTTAACATATAGGCTATTGACTATGTACTTTAGATAGGAACTACAACGTAACAGAAATTTTATTGTTTGATATGTTCAATAGACCCTAAAAAATGATGAAACCGCGGAGTGCTACCTTTTAAAGGGGTGAAAGAACGAAGTAGAAAGGTGGTATTTTCAGTATTTTGAGTTTTACTCGAAAACTATGTATTATTTCTATACAGGGTGTTCCTAAATAAGTGTCGCAACGGAAAACTGTAAATTTCTCTTGAAAAAAGAAACATTTTTTTCCTCTTCCATTTTTCTTTCCGGGCTTTCGTTTTCGAGATACAGGGTGTCAAAACTTTAATTTTTTTTTAGTTTTTCAGCAAATTCTAAAGCGCCAAAAGTCAATTTTTCCAGTGGCGTAAAATTTAGGGGGGGAAAAACCCTTACGATACCTTAAAATCTCCACCACTGGCACGTCCAATGAATTCGAGAAGGGTGCGAAAAAGTAGCTATTAATAGTGGTAATGTGTGTACAAAAGCTCAGTCCTGTAGTTCAAACGATTCCTAAGATATTGGCGAAAAACTAAAAAAAAATTAAAGTTTTGACACCGTGTATCTCGAAAACGAAAGCCCGGAGAGAAAAATGGAAGAGGAAAAAAATGTTATTTTTTTTTAT